CCAAACAAAGTAGTTTCGCTTTCACAACGAAACACACAGCGACTCCACAACATGGCAGCGGAGGCAACAGCGAGAATAAAAGTTACGCCTTCTTTCTTTGCGTGAACATTTGGGCGGCGTTATGCAAATCTTCCCACATCGTGACGTAGATATGTGGGGGCGTGTTAGAACGAGCCGTTTTAGGTAGACGTGGCTGACTCTTAACTTTTATAAAGAATATCTCTTTGGATTTGAGACTTTAGTCTTTGCAACTTTACAGATCTTCTTTATGCACCAAGAGCTTGTAACACTCCAAAGAGAAAGGAAAAATTGAAATCGCATCATATGACCCCTTTAATGGCTATGAAACTAATATAGCAGGTATACTACCATAAACTCAAAAAAAGAACACACCTTTATCCATTGTGAAATAAGGCAACATGTTAGCGAAGCAAAAATGGAAAAATGTTGTCAAACTATCTGTATACAATCAGTGCCGTCTGCCCCGGTAATGAGAAGGAAAATGGTAAAGGATGCCAAACGTTTGAAGAAACTTAATGAAGGAGGCTCAAAGTGAACCATTTTCTGCTACAAGTGGAGCGTGACTGCGGGTTTACTACTGCAAAACACCTGACAAACATTTCCTCAAGATCACATTGAACAAAGATTGTGCTCATTTCTGATCTTTTAGGAGACGCTTTATGTAAAACTAAAAGGGCAGTTTGTTGTCTATCCAGTGGTCTTATGGAAACACTGTATGCAGAAGAAAACCCTGCAAAATATAAGCAAATGAATCCCAGTCTTTCAAGACAGTAAGACAGTTCAGTTTGACACACATTCATACCATATAAACAGACCCAAATATTAACTAACATTAGCATAATAATCCAAAACATCAACTTTGATTTGCAGGTATGACAACGGCTGTGAAAATGAGATCTTAAAATGTTAAGTTAACATTAAATGGCATTCTCATTTTATTTCCATACATGTGATGCAATTTGCATTATACAAGGATATTAAAAGTTACAAAAATGATTAAAACTTGCTCGCCATTTGCAATGCATTAACCAGAATTCAATTGCTGCATAACTATTTAAAAATGTATATACATTGAAGAAGGGCTGCATTACTTAAAACAGCGGCCTAACTGCATTTCAATGAAAGATTATGAAGATTTGTTTCTAAATGCATTGTAGTGAGTCGTGCACAAAAGGCCAGGAACGAGTACAAAGTCTGAAACAAGCAGCTGTTACAGAGAGAGATCTAATTATTTTCATAAATCCATTAGGTTTTCAAGCACTGTGGGAGGAGAGACACTGCTGAAGAGATTACGAGTGCTGCGCTGTTGACTGATAAGAGCTAATCAAGCACAGAAAGCGCGGTGGAAAAACACAACACATTCACACACCAACAAACCCCCCGGCGCTCGTACACAGACATCTGACAGCTCTTTAGGAGCGCTGCTGATTGCATTGAACTTTGGCAGAGGTCACACAGTCATGTGTTAACCATTCCCATCAGCGAGCACAAGGTGTGACAGTGTCCTTGTGCGGGAAACTGAGAAACCGTGATCTACAGCTGGACCCGAGCCCCAATCTGGACACATTTCTACAGCAGAAAAGTCTGTTCAGTCTGAGACCTGGAGACAGGATCATGTCAGATTTCTGAACAACAAATATTCAGTCTAGATTGCAGAAAACTACATGAATTACACACATAACACATTGCACAACTACTTTATCCTTCATGTCCATTTAAACCAGTGGTTCTCGACCAGGGAACCACCTTAGAATAAGACAAAGAAAAATTAAGCTAAAAACGAAGATGTAATCTGACATCATATTTCGTAATTTATTTAGTTCCAAAATAAATGTATTTATAAATATTTTTGAATTTTTTATTTATTTAAAGAATCAGGGTTGGTTCCTGAAAAACCTGGATATATGAAAAAAGTCAAGGAAATTATTAAAATCTTTTAAAAAAGCCATGTAAATTAAATAAAAAAATTTAAAAAATACAATATTAAAAATATTGCTGAGAAATTGCTATCAGCCAGTAAAAATGAATATAATTATAATATATATTTTAATTATTTTAACTATTTTAATTTAGGTAATTATTTTGCTTATAATTATTATATTGAATTCTTTTTATATAGTGCCACACCTAGTGGATATCTAGACCTGGAAAAGTTAAGGAAATTTAAATGTAAAAATATTACTTTACATGAATAAACAAACAAACAAATACATATTTATTCTGGAATTACAGAAGTTCATTATTTTAACTATTTTAATTAATTTCATTATTTCACATAAGTATTTAATTTAATTATTTTTTATATATTGTCAGTTTATATACATTTATATATATTGTCTGTAAATAAAAAAATAAGTTTGTTTTGGATTACTGGGGGCCTCAGAGTCAAAAAGACGTTGCTATGAATTGAATTTCTCATATGTAGATACCATCTGACAGTTGAATCAAAAGCAGCTCATAACATAAACACACTGAAGCAAATTACTTTGAGAGGTTCCCAGATCCCCTGGCCGAGCACCAGCTATGTTTCTGTGGAAAAGTGATACCAGGTATAGTCCTGGACCATCATTTTGTTATGCAAGATCCACAATAACTTACTTTAGTGCAGAATACTGCATGCAGCTATGGAGCTGAATGATATCGTATTGTATTGTCTTGCTGTTGCTGCCATTTACCCACTGTACTTTCTAAACATCTGAACAAGCTATGAGAAGAACAATATGTCCCAAGTGTTTGAACATCACAAATGGGATGCACAAACAACCAGCATGTTGAAATTAGAGCCTTGAATTTAGATTAGATTACATAAGAGTGCAGCGGCAGTAAAGGTTAACAGCGCTGTTAATTGCTTATGCGTCCCCTTTCTAACACGCTGTAAAATCAGAAGCAAAGAGAGTGAGTGAAAATGAAATAAGTGCAGTGAGCGAGACACCTGATGCTCTGAAAACATACCAACAGCTAAGTAGGCACCTGCTGGGCAGCCAACATGTTATCCTTTACTGCAAAGGAATCACATCATTTGGCCCCCGTCTCCCTGACACTCATCTTCTCCCCCATCAGCTGGCCTTTGGCCCAACAGCTGATGGACAGCCATGTGCAGCCCCTGCATATCATGTTGAATCCTGAGAGCTGCCCAGCGTGGTACTCGACCAGACTAACTGGAGTCAAGCAGAGTATTTTTCAAAGCTGTGTATTTATAGACCTGGAGCTGGGGGTGGGGCTTAGGGACCGCGGTCTATAATTATTCCAGAGGTAAATACATACAGTGATCCCTCAGAGTGTTAACAAATTAATAAAAACTGGAAAAGCCATTAAAATGCGACGTGCATGCAACTGGTTTAGCCACAATGTATTTTTAAAGCGCATGTCTATAAGCCTTGCCATCTAAATGGAAAAGATCCCAGAGGTAAATACTTACAGCGATCACTCAAAGTATTAAAAAAAAACAAAACTGAAAAAGCCTCTAAAATGTGACATGCATGCAGCTGGTTTAGTTACAATGCATTTTTAAAGTGCTTTTCTATAAGCCTACCTATCTAAATGAAAATGATCCCATAGGTAAATATACAGTGATCACTCAAACTGATAATAAATTAATAAAAACTGAAAAAGCCTCTAAAATGCGACATGCATGCATGCAACTAACTTATCTACTCTACATTTTTAAAGCACTTGTTTATAAGCCAACCTGCCTAAATAGAAATTATCCCTACATACAGTTAACATACAGTGATCACTCAGAGGGTGTAAAAAAATATAAATAAAAAAAGCCTCTAAAATGCGACATGCATGTACCTGGTTTAGCTACAATGCATTTTTAAAATGCTTGTCCATAAGCCAACCTGCCTAAAGGGATTTTTGCATATATACCTCAGTGTATATATGAGTAACACACAAATATAAATTATAGACTGTAATTAATTTGGGCATTTCATAATCCCAAACCCATGCTAAAATTATGCATATCTGCATATCTTTAAACTTTAAAAGGAAAGCTTTGCATGCAGGATCAATGGAAGACAACTTCCTGAATAGTTATGATGCATATTTGCTCAGTCATTGCAAAATTTTCAAACACCTCAACTATTCAGAGACAAGAAAGATATCATTGCAAATCATCTCTTCATTGGAAACATACACAGCTCTACAAATAAAGCATACACTCTACAAATAAATTTGAATGCAATTTTAGGGCAAAACATTATTTACACTCACTGACTTTAAATTTGCATGCTTAAAAGTGCAAGATAAAACCCGAGTTAATGAACATGTACATTCTCATTTTCACTTGCTAATAGATGGAAAGGCTTACGGTGGCATTTCTCTCCGTGCAGGTTGCAACATGATCCGTTTCGTTGTTTATGCTGTTGTCCTGCAGGGTGTTTGATTTTCTTGCACCTGTGCCGTGAGATACACGGATGTGTACGTGTGGAGTGCTGTTTTTGGAGTGCACATCTGCAGCATTTGAAACGTGACAAGAAATCTCAGCGTTCGCACAGGGTACCTCCAAAGAAATACTCCTGTGAAGGACATGATGCGACCCTTTTCTTGAGGACTTATCCGAATTACCGCAAGTCGGAAAAGTGTCGTGTCTTCTTTTCGTCGACGACGGCCTTCCGCTTGGCAGCATGCAGGCTGAGGTGCTCCGGAAAAGCTTGGCTTTCTGGGGCTCTGCGACGTTGTCGGTTTGTGGGCCCTCGAGAAGTTTGGAACAGTCGATGTTAACCTTTGTTTTGGCCGAACTTCCTTTCCCTGAGGGAAGCGGTCGCTGGTTTGCGAAGTGCAATAAAACGCTGGAGTGTCTTTCCGTTCGCTCTGGTCCTGGCGGTTGTTCCGGCGGCACGCTGAAATGCACTATGGGTTTGGCGTCCCTGTGTTCTGCTGACGTACTGGTTTTGGACAGCCGCAGACCATTAACTGCCGTGGCGACGGATCCCTTGGCCGTGTCATCGTGCGATGCATCAACGCTGGACAGCTGCATCTGATGAGAGGTCTGAAAGGAACTTCGTGCAGATGGAGGCAGCGGAGGAATCATTGGAGATGCTATCGGACTGACGGGTGACGCGGGTGGCGTGGTGCATGGGCTCCGCGGGAAAATCACCAAGGACGAGCAGCGCCGCAAGGGTGCCCTCGCCTTCCGCCGAGAGATTGGTTTGTGATCTGCGACGTCTGCTTCGAATATGCTGTTGCTGCTGCAGTAACCGGCATCGCTCGTGGTGCTGCTGCTACAGGAACCTCCATCCCCATTTCCGCTCTCACAGCTGGCGAGCTCACCGTCTCCTCCGCAAGGCTGCAAGGAGATCTGCAGCATGCTTTTCCTGCTCCCATTCACCTTAGAGATGAATACGGTGGAGTGCCGCTGTAAATTATCGTACTCTGGTGACAAGGGTGGCAATGCCAGAGCCAGCTGTCCTGGAGTCACCTTCATGTGAAGGGAACTCTGCATCAGGCCCTCACTGGAGCTACGGCCGGCATTCGTGAGCCCGCTATCCTCGGCGTGACCGCTGCAAGTCTCTGACAGCGGGTCGGTGTTGCTTCTCCGCGAAGCAAAATGCAGTCGCAGTTGTCGCGCCATGAATTCAAGCTTCCCAGGGATCCGGTGGGACGCAGGACATGGCAAACCCAAAACAAACAAGTGAAAAACGAGCAGCAAAAAGCAACTGCTCCTGGTCCCGTTCTGCGATTCCAAACATTAGCGGTTGCACATTGCAAAAATAGCAGCAGTGACACGTGGCATTCCTCTCGAAGCTCCTCTGAAGCTAACACCATGAAGAACAGCTCTAGTCCTCGGAAGGATAACGGCGAATTCAGAGAGCTTTACAGACGCAACTGCTCCAGAAACCCTGCAAAGGGCTCTACTGTGCCAGACCTCTGGAGTGCCTCAGCTGTGCCTTCTGTAGTTTTGCAAGTGCCGATTCAGGCACTGGTGCCCTCCCTCCCCCAGCTGCCGGTCACCCCAGAGCAAAAAACAACAATCTGCGTGCATGCCAGGATGGAGGTGGAACAGCTCGCCCCTGTTCTAGCCAACCTCGACTCTGCAACCTCCTTCTACAGCAGTGGCAGCCCAGTGTCTAAAGTTTCTTATAAAGCTGCACCCCTGCTAATATTTTTACCCCAACAAGATAGAGTTACAGGAAATAAAGAGGAACAAGGTTTGGCATCATTTAAAGCTTTCTCAACAGCATCCACGTACAGTACTTTGGAGATACGTGGGGAACAGGGTGTTACGAAGTGAGCGTTTGGCTTATTTCTGTACTTCTAACCATGCACGGCTTAAATGCATGATAGCTTCATCTACAAATTTGAAAGCAGCAGACGGAATCAAGCCTGTTTGTGCCAAAAGAGTACCTCCAAATCGAATATTGAGCTTGTTGTGCCAGCTCACATATGGACATGTGCCACATCACGTGTCATCTGACACCCGCTGTTGCAGCCATTTAAGACCATGCTTCTGTCAAAGAGAAATGCCATCTCATCAATCAGGGGCAATTGCAGTTACCACAGTGCACAGAACCAGTACAGGAAATCATCCTGCTTACATGAATGAAAATTTAATATAAATCAGCCTGAATCAGGGATTTTTGCATTTTGTGCACTTGGAAATGAACAAAGTGTTAGGATTCTGGAATTCTAAAAAAAAAAAGAATGGGGTAATTGCATGCATTTCAAATTGTAATGCAGTATAAGAGAGACTGAATCAGGGATTTCTGCATTTTGTGTGCCTGGAAATAAAGTTTTAGGATTTTAGAATTCTAAAACAAAGACTAGGCTAATTGCATGCATTTCAAATGAAAATGAAGTGAGATTGATCACAGAAGAAACATTATCTACTGTCACAAGCCTAGAAATGTTTTGCACAAAAAGAGATCTGAAAGGATTTGTCATCCTTTCTGTAAGCTACCACATTCCTCAGGAGACACAAATAGCGTGCATGCTTGGTTCATGCCAGCGAACACATTCTAGCAATGACATACCAGTTTTTCTCACAACCAGTAACCGGGTTAACCTATCGGTCACTTGCAGGAGGGCCACTGCGGTTTATTGTCTTATCAAGAGCTACTGTTCTTACTTGAACACTGGGTCTTTTATGCAAGCGTTTTATTAACCTTCCTCATTATTCAGGGAGGACGCAGTCAGCGTGTGACGGAGAGAACCCCCCTAACACCGGTCACGCCTCATTCACTTTTATGCGTTTCAGAGCAGTTACTTTTCACGTTTAACAACACCCAAAGGTAAATTTCAGTTCCCAGACCTGAGCTTTAAGGTGGCTACTTGCAAAAAGGCATCCTTGTTCATTTATTACACATTGACGCTCAGGTAGCTGCTGATTTTACAGACCTGAACCCAACACTAACAAGCCGAATATATTTGAGACTGCTGAACTGTGTAAGGTTTCATTACCATCTAACACTAATGTCTACCATTGTAAAGCCAAACAAGCAGTCCTGCCTCAATCTAATGGTCTAATGGTAGTTAAGTCAATATTTCTTTATCAGGCAACTCAAAAAAAAAGCAGATTGCAATGCCATTTGGTGCCACTATGGGTGCAGAAATTATACATAACTCTAATTTTGATACTTCAACCAGACAAAGAATATATTTCACAACCTAAAAATAAAAAAAATCATTTTTTTATTAATATTTTTATTCAGCAGAGGATGCATTGAATTAAAGATATTTAAAATGTTACAAAAATTTCTGTTTCAAATAAATGCTGTTCTTTTGGACTATTCATCAAAGAATCCTGAAAAAAATGTATCACCGTTTACACAAAAATATGAAGCAGCACAACTGTTTTCAACATTGATAATAATCAGAAATGTTTCTTAGGCAGCAAATCAGCATATTAGAATGATTTCTGAAGATCATGTGACACTGAAGACTGGAGTAATGATGCTGAAAATTCAGCTTTACATCACATAAATAAATTACAATTTAAAATATATTAAAATAGAAAACATATATTTGAATTGGTAATAATATTTCATAATATTACAGTTTTTACGGATTTTTTTTTTCAAATAAATGCAGCCTCGGTGAGCAGAAGAGACATTTTAAAAAATCTTACCGACCCCAAACTTTTGAACAGTAATGTACAAACATCTCTAACTGATTTGATTGACATCACAGTAAATCAATGCATTCATGTACATACCAAACGATTTTCATCAAACACCTCCAGCAGCAGACGATGTCTCCTAGGATGCACCTGTGGGAGATTACAAAAGACAAATAGAATAAGTGAATATATACATTAATGTTCATAAATGTACTAACACACTGAATTTGTTTTCGCATATCAAAAATAAATGATGTCTCACTACAAGACAGAAAGTCTGTTCATCCTCCATTCATAACCCTTGACTTTAGGCCTGTAAATGGCCAGTGACTCAGACGGTGTATCATTTAGTATTTCATGAAGTCCCCGTGTTGGTATTTGGGCCAGCGGTCAGTAACACAAATAGGTCAGAACTTTTTATGCCACTGTCTGAATCTGGTTATGATTCATGCACTAAATATCAGACATTTTTTTGCATGGAAAAAATCAACAGGATATTTTTCAAAAATATACAGCACGGACCAAAAGTATGAAACCACACTGCAAATCAGGGATTTTGTGCACCTAAAGATAACAAAGTTTTTGATATTAATAAAACAAAATACAGAGAGAAAAAGTTTTTTAGAGAAAAACTAAGACATGCAGAGTTATCTAGCAGTCACTTTGAATTTAAAAATATAAAATTAATTGTTTTCCATCACTGATTCTGTTTATTACTGAGAAGTTGCTTTAAAAAAAAATCTGTATTATATAAGCGCTATACAATAAAGCTGATTTGATCTGAACAAGTAAAGCTGCTCTCATATGATGATGTAAAATTATAACATTTGTCATGCTGCTTTCCACTCTGATGTGATTCCCTGTTGCTTCCACCATAAACACATTTCTTGAAAAAACTCCTGAAAAATTATTAAAAATCGCTGCTTTGTATGTAAACTTCTCAAATGCAACAAAAACAAGAAGCCCTACACGTATGCAGAAATGCATTTCCCTGAACTTTTTCTTCGGGGAATTAAACATTTATCACATTTATCTCACTATAACCCTATCAGACCTCAGTTTAGGCTCAATGTGGGGCATGACTGAATTCAGCTGACTTCTATCACAACTTCTGGGTTTCGCTTTCACAACGAAACACACAGCTCTTCACGACATGGCGACGGCAGCAACAACAATTCTACAGCGAGAATAAAAGTTGCGCCTTCTTTCTTTGCGTGAACGTTTGGGCGGCGTTATGCAAATCTTCCCACATCGTGACGTAGATATGTGGGGGCGTGTTAGAACGAGCCGTTTTAGGTAGGCGTGGCTGACTCTTAACTTTTATAAAGAATATCTCTTTGGATTTGAGACTTTAGTCTTTGCAACTTTACAGATCTTCTTTATGCACCAAGAGCTTGTAACACTCCAAAGAGAAAGGAAAAATTGAAATCGCATCATATGACCCCTTTAAGTGAGGTTTCGAGCTGTACGCAGCTTTAGAAGAATCATTTGAATAAACCATTTCATGGCGCTCAAAATAGCCATCGAGCTGAGTTTCATTCCTGATAATTTGACATCTTACAGCACAGGCTCCTGCTTTCCTCCTATAAAGAAATGTGATGGTAAGAGATGTGACGGCTCTGCGGATTCTGCTAGACTGTATTTCTCAGGTTAGTATAAACACTGTCAGGAGCAGAGACAAACACTCAGCAGGAACATCACAGGATATAAGCTCTTATACTGTGGGTATAGAAAAGAATCACCTCCTTTAAAATAATCACATTTTGTTGCTGTGCAGCCTGAAATGAAGACGTTTTTCTGAAATGGAATGAAAAAGTTTTTGTTTTAAATTTTTTTCTGACATGTATGTGTTATATATCTTTCACTTGGATGCCATAAGCTGCACTGAGTAAATACAGCAGGATAAAACAAAAACGGATTCTTTTCTGTACCCACTGTATATACACAACTCTCCTGCTCAGTGATGCACGTTACTAAAAAAAATAGATTTTTACATTTTCTGAAGATGAATTTAGTGGTGTAAAACTCTGTGCAAAACTGTGATGCAAGGTTGCAAGGGTGTTGCTGTGGTTCCTAATGTAGTCTTTGTAAGCACTGCATGTACTTTGACTGAAGCATTATCATCGGTTTTGTTTTTTGGCTGTTCACAGAAACATTACTCCATTATGGTCCATTATTAATATAAAATGCAAAAATGGTTTTATAAAACACTTGAACTTTTAAACAGGCTCTCAATGCTGAAATATGAGCAGCCCGTATTATATAATGTTTTCTATTATTACCAAACACAATGACTGCATCTGTTTAATATTAGTTCACAAGAACACAGTATTGGAATCACACACAGTATCTAAATGTGAGAATGATGAACAGAGAGTTCAGCGGAAACGACTACAAACAAAACGTGTGTATATGAGATCCCATGGTACAGAACAATTTGTTTTTACAGGTAAACTTAATGAACAAATGTCTGGGTCACATCCCCAAAATGAAAAAATAATAATAAATAAAATAAAATAAAATTATATATATATATATATTTTTTTTTTTTTTTTTTCACTAAAAAAAATGAAGCTTAATTTAAGGCTCATTAAAATAGATTAATTATTTTTACTATAAATTTTTTCTGTGTAGACAAAATGTTGTTGTTTTTTGTAATTAAAATCAGCATAAAGGTAGTATGATGATACAAATGTAGTTTATAATTTTAATAATACATTATTATCTTTTTTTATTTAACTAAATGTCTGAAACTTTGTATTATGAGAACTTCTCATGTTTATTTGCCTCTTTATAATGAATTGCTTGTTGTATTCCTCATTTGTAAATCGCTTTGGATAAAAGCGTCTGCTAAATTATTATTACATTTTTTATTTTTTTTTGCCAGCCAAACCCCTAAAATATTTACTTAAAAGTCTCCCTGAGGTAACATTTCAATAATTTAACAACACATTTGCATGTTTACGGTTCTTTGATGTCAATTAATGGTTACAAGACA